AGGTTTAGGAGTGTGTTTATGGGAATGTTTGACCATTCTTCCAGAAGTGCATTTGTGAGGTCAGGCACTGATGTCGGACAAGAAGGCCTGGCTCGCAGTCTCCACCCTAATTCATCTCAAAGGTGTTCTATCACGTTGAGGTCAGGACTCTGTGCAGGCCAGTCAAGTTTTTCCACCCCAAACTCGCTCATCCATGTCTTTATGAACCTTGGTTTGTGCACTGGTGGGCAGTCATGTTGGAACAGGAAGGGGCCATCCCAAAACTGTTCCCCCAAAGTTGGGAGCATGAAATTGTCCAAAATGTTTTGGTATACTGATACCTTCGGAGTTTCCTTCATTGGAATGAAGGGGCCAAGCCCAACCCCTGAAAAACAACTCCACACCATAATCCCCCTTCACCAAACTTTACACTTAGCACAATGCAGTCAGGTAAGTACTGTTCTGGCAATCGCCAAACCCAGACACATCTGTCAAATTGCCAGACAGAGAAGCATCATTGGTCACTCCAGAGGACATGTCTCCACTGCTCTAGAGTCCAGTGGTGGCGTGCTTTACACCACTGCATCAACACTTTGCATAGCACTTGGTGATGTAAGGCTTGGATGCAGCTGCTCGGCCATGAAAACCCATTCCATGAAGCTCTCTATGCACCTTTGTTGTTCTAATCTGAAGTCCACATGAAGTTTGCAGGTCTTTAGCTATCAACTCTGCAGACAGTTGGTGACTTCTGCGCACTGTGTGCTTCAGGATGTGCTGACCCCCGCTCTGTTATTTTATGTGGTCTACCACTTGGTGGCTGAGTTGCTGTTATTCCCAGTTGCTTCCACTTTGTTATAATACCACTAACGGTTGACCGTGGAATGTTTAGCAGGAAGGAAATTTCACGGTTGGACTTATTGCACAGGTGGCAACCTATCACGTTGCCATGCTTGAATTCACTGAGCTCCTGAGAGTGACCCATTCTTTCACAAATGTTTGTAGAAGCAGTCTGCATGCCTAGGTGCTTGATTTTATACACCTGTGGCCATGGAGGTGATTGAAACACCTGAATCCAATGATTTGGAGGGGCAATATAGTGTTTATCCATACCTAGATTTAAACATAATTTGTATACTTCACTACTTATTGATAAGGAAGCACACATGCAATATTTCTGCAAAATATAAATTTCAGTAGCCTAAATATATAATGGGATTTCAACTTCCCTTCCAGTCTAACTTCAAATGTTATACGATTACATTTGGAGCATATGCAGTTTAATGGGTAAGCGTCTGAATACTTACTTTTCTTACAGTCTTTTCCGAAAATGTTTTATAATTATCTAATGCTATTTTTTTTTTATTTATACACTTCGGAAAAATATCATTCCTTTTTTTGAGTTTCTGGCTGTTTTTTGGAGTCTCTGGTATGTTGACTTCAGTTAGGTATACAATGTCCTTCCGCCTTTGACACAATATTTAGATACTGTTATTGTCTGAACCGTCCCAGGATGTTACTCTTAGTAACAGGTTCACATAAACCTGGGCCAGTGATTTTATTTATTTTTTTCTTTCTTGACACTCTGTGTTTGATAGGTCCAAGGTTTTGTCAACAGATACTATATATAGGACAATCAGAAGAATCTGGCCTCTGCTACATTGAGGAGAGATCCATTGTTCAAAAGATTAGCTCTGGAAATGGCAAGTTTGTTTGTCCAACACCCCCTGCAGTTTCTTCTTCTTGTGCTGGTTAAACTTTAATATGACTAGGTCTCTGGCTTAGTAAGAAATTCCTAGAGCCAAAAATTAAAAATATGATAGAAATATGTATATTTCCTTCGATAAAAGTTTTGACAGCATGAAAAGCATTTGTGCATGCATACTTAAATGCATAAACTGCATATGTGCATGCATTTTTTTTTTTACATTCTTTATTAACTTTTATCAAAGAGACATCCAAAAGAAATAAAGCATCTAAGCTGAAGAAGAAGAGACATGTACATTATACAGCATACCATGACATCTCGAGAAAGAAGTAACTGCAGTATCCACTAGTATAGTCATACACACTCTCATGGAAATTAACCTGTATGTAGGACTAGTAAGAAAACATGGATGGAGCATCTCCTGGGATCTTGTTTCCAACTCCAGTTAGTGTGGGGGGCAGAGTCTCTCAGTATCTCTAGATTTCAACAGAATGCCAAGGTAGTGAGGCATCACTGTAAATGCATACAGATTTACCAAGATAAAATAAAATAGATAATCAAGTTAGCCGACATATATAATTCAGACTTGTAAACAACTAAGAACCTGTTATATATGCTTATCTAGAGAAGGTGAAAAAGTAACATGTTGTCAAATACTGGCTCTCTAAGGCAAAGTGGAGGGGCAATTTTCAAAGTGCAATAAAGGTATCTGTTCAGAGCACAACTTTTTACTCTTGACAGTTCAGGTGTCCTTGGCAAACTCATCCACATAGGTAAAAGAAAATATTATGTCCGCTCCGAAGAGGCTAGATTTACTCTGAAAAAAGCAGCCCATCCATTGTGGAAACTTTTGGTTGAGGCATAATCATTGAGCTCCATATTCAACTTTTCTCTATACATCAGAAGTCATAGATCTTTTTTTGGCATCTATGGTGATAGGGGGCAAGGCAATAGTCCACTTCTTAAGGATATCTCTGTTGGCCACCAGTAAGCATGTTAGTATTCACTGAAGACTCCTGTGGGATTTATAAATGCGATTTTTTTTTTTTTTTGTGTGGGTGGAGCAGCACTGTTTTCAAATCTGACAGATAGTGCATGGAGAAGTTTCCCCGTACTATCTCTCAGAGGAAGGAGGGGCGGCGAATGTGGCTGCAGCTATGGGAACATGATACATGTTCCCAAAGGTGAACTTATCCTTTAAGTACCATTATAAGGGTCAGATTTCCACTCTAGCCATTTTTTACTAGAGACCGTTGTTTCTCACTCCTTGATTTGTACTTCGTGCAGGGTGTAACGTGGATGGTTACGTCTGTCAGGCCTCCCTTGTGTCCTTGGAACTTGAACTTGGTCTTAGCTGTCCTTGCAGAAGCCACCTTTTGAATTGCTTAAAGAAACTTAATCCTTTGACTTGGAAGGTGGCTTCTTTGATTACTATCACTTCGATGGGAAGAGTGTCAGAGCTGGTGGCTCTTTCATGTAAGGAGTTGTTCTTGGTCTTGTATCATAAAAAGGTAATGTTGTGTCCTCATCCAATTCAGTTTTTCTTGCCTAGAGTGGTTTTTAGTTTTTCACTTGAATCAGGACAGTGTCTTGCCTTTCTTTTTTCCTAGTCCACAGTCGGCAGAGGAAAGATCGCTGCATTCTCTGAATGTAGTTTGGGTGGTCAGGATCTGAGTCTGATGGCACATGTCTAGAATCCTGGTTTGTGCTGCCAGAAGAGTCCAGGAAGGACAGGCGACATCCAAGTCACCTATTTCTCATTTGATCTGCCAGTTAATCATTCAAGCCTTTGGTTTGGAGGATAAGGTCCCAGCTTTTCGGGTGAGAGTGCACTCTACCAGGAGTGTGGCGGAATCTTGGGCTATCAGCCATCAATGGCTCAGGTTTATAAGGCCGCTACATGGTCTTTGGTTCATTCATTCACAAGGTTTTACCAGGTGGATTTCAGAGCAGCAGAGGATTCTGCCTTTGTCTTCAGCTTGTCATGTATGTATGTAAGTAGGACCTTTTGGATCGATGGTGGTGATTACTATGGTGTCAAAGCATGATTGACCTAGACCACCATGCTTACACAGTAGGCTAAGTGTTCTCTTTCCACATCATAGCGTGTTCTTCCATCCTCCAAACATAGCGTTGATCCATGGGCCCAAACACCTCTAATTTCTAATGTTGTTTCATCATTCCACACAAACTTCACATGGCTTTTTTAGGCATAGGTTCGAACTCTTCTTATTCCCTTCTGAGGCATAGGGGTAACTGCCCCTGGAGTATCTGGCACGAGAAGTTCATTACGCATGGAGTGTCTTTTGTTGTCCCTCAGACCCTCCACCATGCTTTTTTTTTTTAATGTTACTTCAGGACATCCCAAATAGTCATGAATAGCCTGCTTTGTGTCCCATGCTGTACAATAAAGAAAATTTGGATTTTTTTTACATACTTACCTGTAGTACTTTCTGTGTAGGAGGGGTTATATAAGTGGGGGGACTTCCTGCTGGTTTGATCTGCCAGTGTCCATTCAACCATAGGTGGCATATTACCAACATAGGCAGGAATACCCTGCTCTGTGGTCCCATGATGTATGCCAAGAAATGGATTATACAGGTAAGTAATGTAGAAAAAAATCCAATATTGGGTAAAACTGAAGTGTGCAAAATCTAGTGCAACTCTGCATAGAAATCAATCAGGTTTTATTGCCAAAGGATAACTGAACAAGCTAAAGTTAGAAGCTGATTGGCTACCATGCAGAGCTTCACCAGAGTCTGAGTGCTCCAGTTTTAGTAAATCTACCACTTATTGCTCTGGATTGAGACCAGTACACTTAATATATAGTGATATGCTTTGCTCATATTTCATGTCTGAAGTTTACAGCCATTTTAACAATTTAGAAACAAGTACAGTTGTCCTTTTAAATTCCTAAAACGCTTATGCTGCTGATCAGCTCACTGGAGGGAATATACTGTTTTCCTTAGCCAATCAAATACTCTAGATAAAAAGTAACATCTTCTGTTCTTTTGTATATTTATGTCACATATTTTCTGGAATGTAATGCTGTTTCGCGATACAAAAAAAAAAAAGAGAAGTTGTATTTTGTGTGCTTACTTGGTGTCTTTCCATAGAAAAGCTTGGACAGGTCACAAAACATTTTGAAATTTAATGTAGGTTTTGCCCTTAAGGATGATATTCCCTTCTCTTACCTTTTTGCCTTTACACATTAGTATTACAAACAGCTACATGTGTTTGCTAAGGCTATATTGTTGTTTCTGCATGTGGGTGCATTCCATTTTGAGATTGAGACTCTTTTTTTCTCTCTCTGAAGTTTTTTAGAGACATTAAAAGTTATCCTCAGAAGAAGTTCTGACATTGAAGATGACACACTCAGCCAGTGGACTGCAAGATTGCCTGAGTTATGTCGTTCAGGCTGTGTCTCATAGGGAAGTGCGTTCTGCTGTTGCTAGGATGAATTTTTATCTCCTCAATGACAGACTGGTTCTAAACTGCCTCACTGACTATAACATGTCCGCCTTGAAGTGTTTGCCTTGGCATACTGCACTGAGCAGGTGAGAAGCCGTGCACAGATTCTAATATCTCTGATACAACTAAAATATTCATACATGTGCATGATGAATACAGTGGCAGAAAGGATTTTAGCCTTCTGGAGTATTTAATTTGAGATTCAGGCATCATTACGATTGCTTTTTGGAGTAAAGCAGCTACTTGGGCTCACCTAATTTGTGCAGCAAATTATTTTAGAGCAAGGTGAAATATATTTTCAACCAGAATGAATGCAAACCTCAGGTGACTGTAATGTATTATGTTTTCCTAGTTAATGGCAATTTTCTGCTCATTTTCTATTTTCACTTATTAAAATGTTAACTTTCTGAATTATGTTTCCCAAATACATTTGGTTGGGCAGCAATGTTATTAATCCTAGAATGTATCTGTAGGCTGTAGTATGATAAAATGATGTTGTCTGCTTTGTCCTTGACTCACTCAGTACTAGAATCTTTTATTGGCTAAACCATTATGAAAATGCTAGAAACGGAAAATCTAATTTAAAAAAGCTGCAGACGGGAGTGTAAAGAAGCCCTATTTATATTTGTGCATTTCAGCATGTTTTCCCACATGTAAGACTGGATGTAAAGCAACAGTGAGAAGTGTACCACTGCTTTTTTGGTGGTGGATGTTATGTTTAAATTCATGGTATTCTCCAGAAGGATGAATGGTAGCACATGGAAAACATATGTATAGTGCATTGAGCGGCTGTGCACACAAGCAGCAAGTATTCAACTTTTTTTCCTCTTCTGGTAGAATGCATGCAAAAATGCACTCCATGTCTGAAATGCTTCACTTGACAAAATGTGATGTGGCTTGTTTAACCACTTTCCCTCCAGAGGATTTACCCCCCTTTATGACCAGGCCATTTTTTTGCTGTTCGGCACTGTGCTATTTCAACTGGTAATTGTGCGGTTGTACAATGCTGTACCCAAACAAAACTTATGTCCTTTTTTCACACAAATAGAGCCTTCATTTGGTGGTATTTGAGCACCTCTGCAATTTTTACTTTTTGTGCTATAAACAAAAAAGACCGCAAATTTTGAAAAAAAAAAACAATATTTTTCACTTTTAGTTATAAAAAAAATATCCAATAAACTCAAAGTTACTCATAAATTTAGGCCAAAATGTATTCTGCTACATGTCTTTGATAAAACAAAAGCCCAATATATGTATAATAATTGGTTTGTTTGAAAGTTATAGTCTACAAACTATGGTATATATATTGGAATTTCCACAGCTTTTACTTTCTGACTGCCTATCGCATTTCTTGAGGTGTTAAAATGCCAGGGCAGTATAACCCCCTTTTGTGGACACTCCACGAATTTTGCAGAGCGGCATGGAGCATTTTATTTTTTGCCACAAATTTTTCAAAAATGACAATTTTTTTTTTTGTCATCAAATGATATATTGTTCATGCATGCCATGGGTATATGTGGAATGACACCCCAAAACACATTCTTCTGCTCCTGAGTATGGGGATACCATATGTGAGAGACTTTGTTTTTGGCAGCCTAGCTACACACAGGCCCCCAAAATCCAATGACCACCTCCAGGCTTTTATAGAGCATATTTCTCATTATCACTTCCCCACTACCTATTACAGTTTTGCAGGCTCTAAAATGCCAGGATAGTACAAACACCCCCCCCCCCCCCAAATGACCCCTTTTTGGAAAGTAGACACCCCAAGGAATTTGATAAGAGACCTGGTGAGTATTTGACAGGTATCATTTTTGTCACAGAGTTTTGCAAATGAAAAGAAAAAAAAAATTTGGTTCGATTTCCAAAAACGTGGCAACACATGAACAAATGAGATCTGCAAAATACTTACAATACCTTGAAGTGTCTACTTTCCAAAAAGGGGTCATTTGGGTGGGGGGTGTTGCTTTCTACTATCCTGGCATTTTAGGGCCAACATTAAAGCAGAGGCCCTAGAGAATTAAACAGTGGGTGTTGACATTTTTTACGTAACACAGTATTTGCGCAGCAATTTTTCAAATGCAAATCTTTGGGTAAAACTACAATTTTTTTTAAAATTTTACTGCACAAAAACACAATATATTGCCCAATTGTATGATAAAATATAACAGATGATGTTATGCCGAGTAAATGAATACCAGACGTGACATGCTTTAAAATTGCACATGCCCGTGCAATGGCGACAAAGTACATACATTTTTAATATCGATAGGCGACGCTTAAAAAGCCTTTATAGGTCACCAATTTATATTTTACATATTTATATTTACACAGGAGGTCTAGTGCTATAATTACTTCCCTCGATCTGATGTTCGCAGCGATACCTCACATGCATGGTGCAGTCTCTGTTTACATACCAACACGGGGCCAAGACTTGCGTTTGCCTTTGAGTACGGGAAGGGCGGAGGAGCAGGGGTGATTTTTTTTTTTTGATCACTATCTTTTTTTTTTTGTAATCACTTTTATTGCTATGACAGGGAATGTAAATATCCCCTGTGATAGCAATAGGCAATGACAAGTATTCTTTTCTGAGAAATCTGGGGTCTTTTAGACTCTAGATATCTCCTCTACCCTTAAAGCATCTGATCACACCAAGATCGGTGTGATCAGATGCTTTCCCAATTTAAAAATGGCGCTATTAGTGTCTGACGAAATGGAAATGATGAAATGCTCGTAGCTTCTAGTCTTAGTCCCTTCTCGCTGCTTGCAAAAACAATTCAACAGCCAATTGGCTACTAGGATTGCTTGTACATGAAAGCTGACCACCAGCTGAAGAAAACAATACCAGAATTATGCCTGTAGCTGCAGGCATCATCCCGGTATAACCACTCAAAGTCCAGTGACATACCATTACGTTGCTGGTCCATGTTGAGCATATATGTAACAGCAGAAAACATAGGCATATGATGAATTGGCTCTGAGGACCAATAAGACCGCAATTAATTATTTATTTTTTTTGTAATGCCCATCTTGAGGGTTAGGCCCAGAAAAGTTTTAAATTCAGAAACCATGTTAGGTTTCCATGCAAATTGTCTGGATTTGGGTGGGCAGTGATGCATTCTTGTGCGTATAAATTGCCTGGCCCACAATCAATTGGTACAAATCTTCCATGAAGAACAGCGGAGGGGCTAAACGCTAGTGCTGGCAGCGAACGGGTCTGATCCTGCTAACACTGCATTTTTGGGGACACTACAAAGCAGGCACTAGTATAGTGCGGGATGAATTGCTATTTAAAATTGGTGCGGTTGATCAGGGCTACACCTACACAGCCACCTTATCCACAGCCACAGGAATTTGTGTATGAATAAACTATGAGTTCTATCTGCCACCATGGCAGATGGCTTGCAGTTCTCAATGGACTGCGAGAACACTAATGAGCTTCCTCATAGTCTGCTGACACTTCCTCTTTTTTTATGTAAAAACATATGCATTGATCATGTTTTCCAAAAAGAAACTGATTATAGCTGGGCCTGAAGAAGGGAAACTAATGCTTTTGGGTCAGATTTACTTTTTTTTTTTTTTTTTTAATTTATAAACTTTTTTAAACTGTTTTTTTTTTTTTTTTTTTTTTTTTTTTTTTTACATTTGCTCAAGAGAACATTCTCGGAGCACTGGGGGTTAGATTACATCAGTCAGGTGAAATTAGATTGCACTAGCCAGATCGCTTTACATTACTGTTAGAAACTGATACTTAATATGTTATGTGCTTATTTTGCAGTGCCATTAAAGTTGACGTTAAAGCACCAATAAACTCCACTGTTACTTAAAATAGAGGTCTTTAACCACTTGCCCTCCGGATGATTTACCCCCTTCTTGACCAGGTCATTTTTTGCGATATGGCGCTGCATTACTTTAACTGACAATTATGTGGTCATGCAACGTTGTACATAAATTTTATGTCCTTTTTTCCCCACAAATAGAGCTTTATTTCGGTGGTATTTGATCACCTCTGCGGTTTTATTTTTTTCACTATAAACAAAGAAGACCAACAATTTAAAAACAAATATATATTTTTGACTTTTTGCTATTAAACATGTCCAATAAAAAAATTTTAAATATCAAATTTTGTCATAAATTTAGACCAAAGTATATTCTGCTACATGACTTTGCTAAAAAAAAAAAAATATTCCCAATACGTGTAAATTTATTTGTTTCCGTGAAAGTTATAGTGTCTACAAATGGCGGTATATATACTGGAATTTTTTTTTATACTAGTAATGGCGGCGATCAGCGACTTATTGCGGGACTGCGGTGGGCATTCTGACACCGGGTGGGAACTAACTGCCACTGACATCCCCAGTGACGCTAATACAGTGATCAGTGCTAATAAAAAGCACTGACACTGTACTAATGACACTGGGCAGGAAGGGGTTAACATCTGGGTTGATCAAAAGGTTAACTGTGTGCTGTGTTATGTTTTTACATAGTGTGCTGTGTGTGTTTTACTATGTAGACAAGCTGCTTTGTATTGCTCTGCTGTGCAGGGCAATACAAAGCAGCCTCTATGTGCTGAGAGAGGAGAGATCTGTGTTGTTTTACATACAGACCTCTCCCTTGTCAACTCCGCCAACGATCATCGAGTCCCAGCTGAAAATCGCGGCCGGGACCTGGTGATTGACATGCCGAGGATCCAATAGTGGCGCGGGTAGGGAGCGTGTGCGCCACCTACCTATAAATACAAAGTCACGAGTATATATTTGTGATTTTGCACATCCCTGCTGCCCTGTAGCAGTACTGCTATAGGGTGGTCAGGAGCCGTTAATCAGGTGACATCTGGCTGTCATCCTTCTTCAAAAGATTAAAAAAAAGGGATTGCTGCAGAGAGGCTTAATTTGGTAACATGATGTAGTCTGGAAAGAAATATGCAAAACACTTATTAGGTAGGAGGGATCCTCCTGTAGCACACTAAAAAAGGTGGAATTGCTGCACCATTCTTATTACAACAAAGTAATATCATAAAAGGACAAGGCACAATAATTAGAGGAAGGATTGCTAAAGATGAACGAAAAGTCTTTGGGCTTGAATTTGACAATGTTTTCAACTATTGCCGTGTGTCTTAATATACAAAATATAGTTTACTTTGACACTTACATTTTTCTTTGCTAAATGCTCTAAACATAGTAGATGGAGGCACTGCTGCTGCAGCTTGTGTTGCCCCAAGCACAGGAAAGGTTAATGTTTGTTCTTTCTCCTCTGTAGGTTTTTGCTGGTTCAACCAGCATGTGCTGAAGATGAAAAGCTCCTGGCAGATGTGATAAGTTTCCTAAACAAGATCCTGAGAGAACAGAGTAGAAGCTCAGATTCACAAGATCTCCAGTGGATACTGGAGATGCTACTTAAACAAGTAAGAATAGTACCTTAGAGTGTTGCAATTGCCATTTCTGACAGATGATGCAGCATTAACATCCATGGCCAATAAAGATAATTTAGCTGTAAAGGGTATACATTTATTTTGTTCACCTGCCAAAGCAATTCTGGTGGGAGCACTGAATCTGTCTCTTACAATGCTCCGGGTCTCAATAAAAAAAGCAAACACAGCAGCAGGAATGACATTGTATGATAATCAGGAAACATTATTTGGTTGCTGGCACAATGAACTATTCATCCTGAGTATTTGTAATGATTCTATCCTGCCTTGCATTTATGTGTTAATGCAGTACTGGGAAATCTGTGCCTTCACTATAGCACTATAGCTGTATAGTTATTTTGCTTTGTGTGTATGTGTGTGTATATATGTGTATATATATATATATATATATATATATATATATAGCTATATTTAATGTGAGATAGGAGATCAGGTAAGGACATAGGGGAATTTCCTCTTCTAACCCCAAATGTGTTTTAACCTCCCTAGTGGTATGATTATGTCAGTATTTCTGTTTTCAAAGCGGTACATTGTTTTCAATGGAAATGTTTTTTTTATTGTAGGCCTGTAATTCTTAGGAATAACTCACTGAAATCTGTTTAAACAAGAGTCTAGTAGACATCCTGGGTGTGATAAAGTTTGATACATTAAGTCATAAATTATAATATAATAAATAATTATAAAAATAATATAATAATAAATTAAATAATGTAATCAGATCAAACACACCAAACTCTGTCCATACAAGACACTGCATATTCTAGAAAACGTCCCGGGTGTGGTATATCTTGAAACACGGGACTGCACAAAGTCCGACATCACAATCAGGACAGTGGAACCTCGTTTCTTTGTGGATTTTTTTTCCACTCTCATCTCGCCGAGAGCAACATACCACGCACATCTGTGTAGGTGCTGCCTTTTTTTGGTTTGGCGGGATGTGGTCCATAAAGTGAGATCCAGTCAGACGTTCTGGATTGACAACTCCCACAGCACGTCGTCCAGATATACATACAGACATTGATGGCGTTTGAGGAAGATGGATTCTGCAACTTTCCAAATAAAGTCTGCATGAAGCACAGGCTTGTCACTGTTTTTGCGGAACAGAATGTAGGCATTCCACAAACACTGTTCAAGAAGATGCCTGAAAATTTTTTTGTAATATTCCTCTGCTGCTTTCTCGTTGATGGATAGAAAGTCATTGCTTGGTCAGCTCTGTCAACACCTTCCATGGTGCTGTTGTAGTCAATAACTACCTGCGGCTTCTGAATGTTTTTCCCACCTTTTGATTGTACTATCACTGTGGAGGCATTGTGAATGGTACTCCTTAGGCACACATCCTTCTCGTCCCGCCATCTCAGTGAGATCATTTTGCCTTTCTGCCAGGCAACTTTCTCCAGACTTCAGTTTGCTTTTTCCAAACATTGATGGCAGGTTGCACCAGTTAGCCCTAACTGTTCCATAGGCATCCGTTTTGTGCTGCAGAAGAACCTCGTAAGGTTCTGGAGAGGTGTAGAAATTGTCCATTGTTACACAGTAGCTTTGCTTTAACAGAGGCTTAATCAGTGACAGGAAGGAAGATGTTGCCATTCCATAGTTGCTGTACTTGGGATCAAATTTTGTTCCTTTGCCAGTGTAAAAATTTATGTTCCAGATGTAGCCAGTAGAGGATTTGCACAGCAGGTAGGATTTGACACCAAATCGTGCTCTTTTGGATGCGATGTACTGTACCCAGCTGAGCCTTCCCTTGTGGAGACTTTCCAAATTTTCTTTAGTTTGGGGGCCGGATGAGTCAATTCGTCAAAATCGTCATTGTTTGTGAAGTGCAAAAATTTAATAATGAGTGAAAAACAGTACTCCGACATGACTGTGCCAAAGAACGGCGTGGCAAGCATTTTGTTGGTGGTCCAATACCACTTCTGCAGTGGTTTCCCCACCACTCCTTGAAGAATAATTAGGCCGAGAAACAGCCAAATGTCCTCTTTGGTCACAGGTTCCCACTTTCTGCTTCCTGAAAACCTGCTGTATGGGGCAGCTAATTGTTGCGCTGCATACCTGTTTGTCTCCAGCACGATTATTTCAATAACCTCAACGGTCAGAAACAATTCTAAGTACGCCAAGGGGTTTTCACCTTCAACATGGACTTTCATACCAGGTGCACCGGTAAACAGGAATCTTGTCGGCGCTGGCGTACCACAATCAATAGTGTACCATGTTCGCAGATCACTGACGTCAATTTCAGATTTGGCGCTGTCTTCACTGTCGGTGTCTGAAGACAAATTTACACATTAGTCACTATCGCTCAATTCAAGTAGCTCCTCACTATCGCCATTTGCTAGTTCATCAAAAACCGCTTTGGCGCTAGAGAGACGCTTTTTGGAAGCCATGAGTGCAAAACCGTTTTTAGTCACAGAAACTGAAAAACTGCACTATGGATATATTTGAGGTAATGATACAATGTATTCACTTGAGTAATTATTTTTTACACAGGTCTAATTTTTAAATTCCTGCCTCCCGCAAGCCCTGCCCTCCGCCAGCACAACGCGGCTGTCTCACGCTGATCACACAGGTCAGCGTGAGACAGCTGGGAAGGAGACAGGGGACTGTTGGAGCGGATGGCTCGATGCGGCTGCAGAACCTGGGACACGGATTGCAGGACCAGGTATGTATAAGTCTGGCTCGGGGTTACCACCTTTGACAGCTAGATTTAACCCCCAGCCAGACTCATGAAAACCGCTAGGCGGGTTAAAGAGACCCTGTCCCCAACCTAAAAAATGCAAGCGAAAGTGCAGAAAAAACAAGAATTTTAAATGATTACTTGCAGGTTTTTTGTTTTTTCTGTTTTTTTTTTTTTTTTTTTCAGAATGATCATTTTTTTCTTTCTCGTTCATTGAGGGACACAGAAGGTCTATCACATTGGAGTTATACTGCCACTGACAGGAGGACTGGACACTGGCAGTAGAAAGAACTGTAGGCTATCCCAGGATAACCCCTACTACTACCAGCATGCCTCAGTTTTGCTAGTGTCCTTGGAGGATGGACATGTTTTCTTCAGCTCTGCTGGGAAAATCCTAATCTATTTTTGCTTGCAATTGTTTGTTCATTTTTTATCAGTCAAGAGCTGGACTCTAAGATTGAAGCTATCTAACCAGTCCTGTCCTCAGTTTAGTGTTTTGCGTACTACAACGAAACCCCTCTGGACTGGATGTTGCAGAGATAGCTTCGAAGTGACCTTTGGGAACTGGATTCTGCATAAGGCACTTTCCAGATCCCTTCAGGCAAATTTTGAGCTGCAGACAGTCTTCAGGTTTAATTTTGTTCATGTTGGACCTGTTAGCATATTTTTGTTGTTTTTCTCACCCCTCAGTTGACTGCTTTTTGGATGTCCTGAAAGTGATAGACTTCCTGTGTACTTTAATGGATGAGAAAGAATATAGGATTGTAAGTGGATTGACATTGGTCCCTCCACCTATATCTTTATGACCTTCCTACAAAACTGGGGCACACCAGTAGCAGGAGGGATTATTCTGGGCTAGACACGTTTTGTTTTGTTTTTTTTTTTTTCTTTTTTGTTCTTCAAAACCTCCTGTAGGTGGCAGTATAACCTGATGGTGAATTTTTATTTTTTTTTTATCCCTCAATGGACTTCAAGAAAAGATATAATAGTACAAAAATTGTATTGTTATTGGCTTACAATTCTCTGAATTTGCTAGGGAATTGACAGTCCAAAAAAGTGGTTGATCCAGCAAAAACCTACAGAGGAGAAAGAGCAAACAAAGCCGTGATTCCTCTCTTACCAGATGGCGTGGTTTATACTCTGAATGTGCAGGGCTTAAAAAAGATAAATCTTTAAACATAAATAGACAAAGGTAAATAGAGGAGCACATATAAATTGTGAATACAAAATCACATATTGTACTATTGTATCTCATACACCCAACACACAAACGCGTGTGACTGTAAATACAGTCATGGCCGAAATTGTTGGCACCCTTGATATTTCTCCAGGAAATCATGTATTTCTCACGAAACGTATTGCATTAACACATGTTTTGCTATACACATGTTTATTCCCTTTGTGTGTTATTGGGACAAAACAAAAAAAGGGAGGAAAGAAAGCAAATTCGACATAATGTCACACAAACCTCCAAAAACTGGACAAAAGTATTGGCACCCTTTCACAACTGCGGATAAATAAGAATGTTACAAGCATGTGATGCTCCTGTAAAACCTGGGGCAAGTAACAGGTGTGGGCAATATAGAAATCACACCTGAAAGCAGATAAAAAGGAGAGACGTTCACTTAACCTTTGCATTGTGTGTCTGTCTGTGCCACACTAAAGCATGGACAACAGAAAGAGGAGACGAGAACTGTCTGAGGACCTGAGAACCAAAATTGTGGCAAAATATATCAACAATCTCAAGGTTACAAGTCCATCTCCAGAGAACTAGATTTGCCTTTGTCCACAGTGCGCAACATTATCAAGAAGTTTGCAACCCATGGCACTGTAGCTAATCTCCCTGGTCGTGGACGGATGAGGAAAATTGATGAAAGATTGCAACGCAGAATAGTCCGGATGGTGGATAAGCAGCCCCAAACATGTTCCAAAGACATTCAAGCTGTCCTGCAGGCTCAGGGAGCATCAGTGTCAGCGCGAACTATCCGTCGACATTTAAATGAAATGAAACGCTATGGCAGGAGACCCAGGAGGACCCCACTGCTGACACAGAGACATAAAAAAGCAAGACTACAGTTTGCCAAAATGTACTTGAGTAAGCCAAAAGCCTTCTGGGAAAACGTCTTGTGGACAGATGAGACCAAGATAGAGCTTTTCGGTAAAGCACATCATTCTACTGTTTACCGAAAACGGAATGAGGCCTACAAAGAACAAAACACAGTACCTACGGTAAAATATGGTGGAGGTTCAATGATGTTTTGGGGTTGTTTTGCTGCCTCTGGCACTGGGTGCCTTGACTGTG